ATCATCAAACCAGAAATTCCGAAGCAATTTCTCTCCAGTGCTGATGAAGAAGCTGGAAACGTAAATGAATTGTATCTTACCTGGGAACAACAAGACCAAATGCTCTTCTCGTGGTTGCTTGCATCCTTGTCTGAATCGCTTCATGCACGAGTGATCCATTGCAGTCATTCATATGAGCTCTGGAATGAGATCAACACGTTCTTCAGAGCAAGTATAGTTGCGAAGGCCAGACAGTTGAAATCAGAACTGTATACTACTGCCAAAGGTGAACGTACCATTTCTGAGTACCTTCTACGGATCCAAACCATCGCTGATAATCTCCTCTCTATTGGCGAACCGATAACATCTAAGGAACACATCAATGTGATTTTAGAAGGTTTACCGGAGGAATATGAATCTCTAGCATCATCTATTTCCTCTCGTAGCATTCTCGACCCTCCTACTTTGTCGGAAGTCGAATCTCTTTTGTCTGCCAAAGAGGTACGATTGCAGAAACTTCGTGAATCGTCTCAAACAAATCTATTGTCTGCTAATGTAGCTCGTCTGGAGGTTACGTCCACAACTAATCAATCTGCAAGTGAAAATACTCCAGACAATGCTTCGATTCAACTTGCTCAGTTTAACAACAATGAAAACCCTAACTCTTATCGAGGAAGAGGTCGTGGAGGTTTCAACCGAGGTAGAGGAGGAAGATCTGGAGGTCGCTATTCAGTCACATGTCAAGTTTGTGGAAAACCAGGTCACCATGCATTGATATGCTATCACCGCTACAATCCAGCCTACACAGCTTCAAATTCCACTCCCTCAAATTCCTATAGCCAACATTCTACCTTTCCCAATCCTAATCCTCAACCACCATATCCTAATACCTTTCCACAAAGATCTAACTATCCTTAGTCACAGTTTCCTCAGCCACAATTCAACTGGGATCAGATATCGTCATACCATACTTCACCATCTCCTACACAACACCATTATCAACCCACTGCTACTCATCAACAAAATCAACCTACTGCCAACACTTCTATTCTTGGGCCTCATCCACAAACTTGGTTTCCTGACTCAGGAGCCACTCACCATGTCACTGCAGATTCCCTCAACCTGCAGCATAGTGAGCCTATTACTACAACTGATAAACTCTTTATGGGCAATGGTCAAGGTTTGGATATCAAGTCTATTGGTTTTACTTCCTTTCCTTCCCCTTATCAGTCCTCTATTTCTCTTTCTCTCAGAAATATTCTACATGTGCCTGCAATAACCAAAAATCTGATCAGTGTTAGTCAGTTTGCTAAGGATAACAATGTCTATTTTGAATTTTATCCTTATGATTGCTTTGTGAAATCTCAGGGTTCTAAGCAAATCCTCTTACATGGAATTCTGGGAGAAGATGGTCTCTATAGATTCAAATCCTTTCCTGCTGTTGGTTCACATCAAAGTCCTACATCTACTAGCCAAACTTCTATGTTCTCTTCACACTGTTCCAAGTCTAATGCTTTGTTATCTACTTGTAATAATGCCAAATCCTGTAGTCCTATTTCAACTTGTAATCTTTGGCACCTTAGGCTTGGTCATCCTCACTTTGAGGCTCTGAAACTTATTCTTCAGCAATGTAATATTTCAAACATCAATAAAAAGGAGATTGATTTTTGTTCTGCTTGTTGCATGGGTAAGGCACATAAGTTACCTTCCTATTCTTCCACCACTGAATACAACCATCCTTTTGAGTTAGTGTTTACAGACCTATGGGGACCAGCCCCCATTTCCTCCTTTGATGGATACTACTACTACATAGCATTCATTGATGCACATACTAAATACACTTGGATCTATTTTCTCAAACGAAAATCAGATGCTCTTACAGCCTTTAACAACTTTTCTCAATATGTTCTGAACCAGTTTTCTACCTCAATAAAGTCCATTCAATCTGACTGGGGTGGTGAATTTAGGTCTTTCACTAAACTTCTCACTGAAAAAGGCATTATACACATAGTTATTTGTCCTCATACGCACCATCAAAATGGTGTTGTAGAAAGAAAACATCGTACCATTGTTGAAAAGGGCCTTTCTCTTCTGTCTCACTCAAACCTGCCTCTTAAATTCTGGGATGCAGCTTTTGCTACATCTGTTCATCTGATAAATAGAACACCATCTAAGTCAATCTCCAATTCCAGTCCATACTTCAAACTGCATAAATCAGTTCCAGACTATACCTTTCTCAAGGTTTTTGGATGTGCCTGCTACCCTTTCACCAGACCCTATCATAAACACAAACTGGACTTTCACACTGAAGAGTGTGTTTTCATGGGCTATCCACCTAGTCACAAAGGCTATAAATGCTTATCATCCTCAGGGAAAATTTACATCTCCAGAGATGTTATTTTTCAAGAAACCAAATTTCCTTATCCTACTTTGTTCAAACCTACTTCATCTGACTCTTCTTCTAACCTCCATCTACATCATCCTTCTGCACCTATTAGTGTTCAGACCTTCATTCACCCTCCCAGCTTCTCTGAATCTGAATCCTCAAGTGCTGACTCTGTATCTTCTCAAAACCACCCTTCAAACACATCTCATGAACACCATCCATCTCTCTCTAATAATACTCAAAGTCAATCTTCCTCTCATGAATCACAATCCTCATCTCATGAATATCCTCCTAACACATCTCATCAATCACACTCCTCACCTAACCCTCATTCTTCTTCATCTGATTCCTTTCACCAAACTACTCCACCTCCTTCAGTTCCTATTGTCAATACTCATCCCATGAGGACAAGGGCAAAGTCAGGCATAGTAAAACCAAGACTTCATCCTACCTTACTGTTGGCTCATATTGAGCCTAAATCAGTTAAACAGGCTCTCTCTTCTCCACAGTGGTTTGAAGCCATGAATACTGAATATAATGCTTTGATTGCTAATAAAACCTGGACTCTTGTTTCTCTTCCACCAGATAAGCATGCTATTGGATGCAAGTGGATTTACAGAGTCAAAGAAAACCCTGATGGCTCTCTAAACAAGTTCAAGGCCATATTGGTGGCTAAAGGCTTTCATCAAAAGTTTGGTTTTGATTTTGGGGAAACATTTTCTCCAGTTGTGAAGCCTATCACTATCAGAATCTTACTTACCATTGCTATTTCACACAATTGGTCCATCCAGCAGTTAGATGTTAACAATGCTTTCTTGAATGGTGAACTAGAAGAGGAAGTGTACATGGTTCAACCTCCAGGTTTTGAAGTTCAAGACACATCTCTGGTCTGTAAACTTCACAAATCACTATATGGCTTAAAACAAGCTCCTAGAGCTTGGTTTCAAAAACTAACCTCAGTTCTTTATGCTACTGGTTTTAAACAAAGCAAATCTGATCCTTCCCTACTCATCTATCTATCCTCTACAGTCCAAATTTACATTCTTATCTATGTTGATGATATCCTGGTCACAGGAAACAATTCAGCAGCCATAACTCAACTCATTCACAAACTCCATTCCTCATTTTCTCTAAAACACTTGGGAGAGCTTGATTTCTTTCTTGGAATAGAGGCACACAATCTCCCAGATGGCAGTCTTCACCTATCACAGGCTAAGTACATCAGAGATGTTCTAAATCAAGCTGGCATGCTTGAATCTAAGGGAGTTATGACACCTATGGTGAGCACTTGCAAACTGCAGAAACAAGGCAGTGATTACTACTCAAATCCTTCCCAGTATAGATCCATTGTTGGAATGTTACAGTATGCAACTTTGACTAGGCCAGATATCTGCTATGCTGCCAACAAAGTGTGCCAGTTCATGGCAGAACCACTGCAGGAGCACTTGAATGCAGTGAAACACATCCTCAGATATCTCTCTGGAAGTGCAAATCATGGAATTGTCATCAGACCTATTTCCTTGTCTTCTATACCTCTACCAATATCAGCCTACTGTGATGCTGACTGGGCATCTGATCCCAATGACAGAAAGTCTACTTCTGGCTCATGCATACTTCTTGGAACCAACATCATTTCCTGGTGGTCAAGAAAACAACTTAGGGTTGCAAGATCTTCAACAGAAGCAGAGTATAGGAGTCTGGCAGACACCACTGCAGAACTCTTATGGATCCAATTTCTACTAAAAGAACTTCAAGTCCCCTTTTCTACTCCCAGAGTATACTGTGATAACCTCAGTGCTGTTCAACTGTCTCACAATCCTGTTTTGCATTCCATGATCAAGCACATGGAAATTGATCTTTTCTTTGTCAGAGAAAAAGTTCTGCTCAAGCAACTCCAAGTCTATCATATTCCCTCTCTTCATCAAATTGCAGACATACTGACCAAGCCACTCTCCAGTTCCAGATTTCTTGATTTAAAAACAAAACTTAGTGTGATCGAGTTGTCAAACCAATCACCCTAATTTTGAGGGGGGAATGTTAGATACATATCATGTAATAGACTAGAAGGATTATCCTAAACAGTATACTAGATGGGGACCCGGTTGTTATGGAGTCAGTTAGACTTATAACCAACTGTATAAATACTTGTACTCAGTTCAGTGTTGTAATCAATCTGAAATAGTTTCATCTCTTATCTTCTTCTTCTTCTATTAATAAGTATCACATTTCCATTTTTGAAAAGAAATGTGTGATCTACATCATTTTACTTTATTATACCTCAAATTTAAATCACAATTTTTACATTTTCAACCACTTTATAAATAGTTGTGCCAAAGTCAAATGATACGAATAAAATGTGATGGAGATAATATTATTTTTTTTGCAATTGAGATAATATTATTAATACAATCTTTTTTTCACGACCAGAATCTGAGAAGACAATTGAACATCATAAATGTGCATATAGATGAGGCTGGCACAGGGCAAAAATCGAAACAAAAGAACCTGAGCGGAGTATTATTGTAATCATTATAATAATCTGAATAGTATTAAATAATTATTACTACAGTATTACAATAATCACTCGGTAACTATAATAATGTGATAATAATTGAATAATAAAGTAACGGAGGCACGCAGCACGGCACAGGTACTAGCTGCTGCTCTTCACTGCTTCAGAGTATTTCAGTACCTTCGCCAACACACCGTGTGACAGAGAGAAAGAGAATGGCAGTTTGTGTTCTGTAGAGGGAGAAATTTCTTCAGAGAAACCAACTAAGAGCCATTAATGTCTATCAGAAACAAAGCGTGAGCTAGTACTGCTTCACAGCACATTCATTCATTCACCTCTTCTCCCAATTCATGCTGCTGTAACTACTCCAATTCCGGTTCTCACTCTGAGAAATTTGAGATTCTATCTGTATTTTGTTCTGTGTTTTTATTTTGCGTCTGAAATTGAATGTACGCGGCTGATAATCTGATATATAGATAGATGGAGGGGGAACTGAGTAGGATGACGATGGACATATTCTCCAAACTCGAGCAGAAATGGCTGTACCACTGCGAAGGCAAGAAGACGCGCGTCCTGAGCATCGACGGCGGCGGAACAACCGGCATTGTGGCCGGTGCTGCTCTGGTCCACCTCGAAGATCAGATCCGAGCGAAAACCGGCGATCCTGATGCTCCAATTGCTGAGTTCTTCGATTTAATCGCTGGTTCTGGAATAGGTGCTATTTTCGCCGCAATGTTGACTGCTGACGGAGGAACCGGCCGTCCGCTGTACACGGCCAGGGAGGCAGTTGCGTTCGTGAGAGAGAAGCAGCCGGAGCTTTTCAGGAGAAAGCAGGTCGGCGTTTTTGGCAGGCAGCGGAGATTTTCTGGCAAGAGTATGGACAAGACGCTGAAAGCGGCCTTGACAAGGAGAGAGGACGGGAAGATTTTGACGTTGAAGGACACGTGCAAGCCGCTACTGGTTCCTTGCTTTGACCTCAATAGCTCAGCGCCGTTCGTGTTCTCACGCGCCGACGCCTCCGAGTCTGCGAGCTTTGACTTCGAGCTCTGGAAAGTGTGCCGCGCCACGTCAGCTGATCCGTCCGTGTTCAAGCCATTTCCGCTCCAGTCGGTCGACGGGAGGACCTTTTGCCTGGCGTTAGGCGGCGGACTCGTCATGAACAACCCAACCGCCACCGCGGTGAATCACGTCTTGCACAACAAACGCGATTTCCCGTCCGTTACCGGCGTGGACGACCTCTTGGTTCTCTCTCTAGGCAATGGATCGTTTTCCGCCGCCCCAAACGCAAAATTGCGTAACGTCTATTGCTCTACATCCGCCGTGGTCGGCATTGTTCATGACGGCGTTTCGGAAACCGTCGATCAAATGCTCTGTAACGCCTTCGCTTTGAATCCGAACGGTTACGTGAGAATCCAGGTAACAATTCAACTCTTGAATACAAAATTTAATTCAATCAATTCTTTTACGAATAACGATTTTATATCATTGTGTTTTGGGTTTGATAATAATTAATTAAACAAGGCAAACGGCGTGGGAGAGGGAGTGGAGGAAGTGTTGGAAGAGAGAGGGGTGGAGTCGTTGCCGTTTGGGAGCAAGCGGTTATTGACGGAAACAAACGGGCAGCGAATGGGAGGCTTCGTGCAACGGCTAATTGCTTCGGGAAGGAGCAGCCTGCCACCGAGTCCGTGCAAGGAAGAAGCCGCTGTTAGTCCTATGAGTAACGGATGTTAGTTAATACCATCCATTCCTCGCTTTGTTACGGCGTCCGTTTCTTGACCTCCATAAATAAACGCAATAGAGAGACTAGTTTTTTTTTTTTTTTTTTTTTTTTTTTTTTTTTTTTTTTTTTAAATAGAGAGACTAGTTTTGAGCCCCATAATACATCAGCACTTCACATGACCACATGCATGTTCTAAAATATTTGAAGCACCCAATGGAAACTGGTCTTCTCTGCATCTGATTTTAATACATATCGGTCATTTATTTTGCGGGGACTACAAAAATACTCAACTTTTTGTTCAGTATTTTGTCAACGATCTATTGATAAAATGATGTGTATCCTTGTTCCAACTCCCAACTAGCAACAAAGATATTGTTTAGAGCTTTAAAATTACATTCCCACGAGAGGAGATCACAAAATTATTAAGAAAAGTGAATTTATATGTTTGATATTGAATTCATAAAGTAAGAATAAAATCAGAGTGATTTAGAACCACACAAACTTTACAAAATTTGATATGAGACAATATTAGTGAGATTTTCCGAAAATGTAAAATGAATCAATCTTAACGGTAAGAAGAGTAGTTTTCAGTGATATGATGGACTTGAACATAAACTGATAAACGTTCAATCTTGCTTCTATTTTATGAAAGAACCATTACATCAGAAAAATCGGTACATCATTTTACTTTTTGTGATACTATGGCGTCTGTGTGGAAACCTATCAAAGATGTTATCATAAATGAACTGAGTGCTAGATGATATATGTTTCAATTTTATCATGATAGTGATATGATTATTTTTTTAGGAAGGACCATGGATCTATGATCAAAATCTTATTGTCCTAAGTAATAAACTGGAGGAAGGAGATTTACCTCTATTTGTTCCTTTGTGGGTTATTTTACTCTGAATTGACAATTTTGTGAGAAAATTTATTAAAGTTGATAAGCATAATTTCTCTACTAAACAGAATCCTTTAATGAGAATTAGAGGTAGCCTAGACTTAGGAAAATCCATGTAAAGCAAATTGTTTCTGCAAAAAGAAGAATGAATAAATTTTTGTGTAACTTTTCGCTACCAGAAATTACCCAGTTTCTGTGTCATGCGTGAAACTATTGGGCATGCTGAAAATTATTATTCTCGTAAAACGGAAGGATGTATGAAGAGTGAAGAAAACCCATTTGGCTCGTGGCTTAGAGAGTGAAGCTCCCTGACAAGTGAGGGAGCTTCATAAACTATTTATTTATTATTCTGTTTTATTTATTCAGTTTTATATAGTCTTATGACTTGGTGGGTCATTGACCGAGTTGTATATGTAGCCTTATGACTTCAGTGCTTCTTACAAGATGACGAGCTTGGTGTTGTAATGTTGTAATTCGTTGGATTATATTGATAAAATTTCGTGAACATATTTGTATAGATTGTATCCATTAAATTTAAGCTTAAAATTTAATCAAAAAATTAATTAAATAAATTATAGAATAATATTGTGTTTGTTATACATATTGGCTAGTAAAATGGGGTTAGTACGAATTCCTTAATTGTGACTTGTGAAACAATACATTCACACGTGCAACATTTAAGTCTTGTTCTCAAAAGAGTTTGGATCAGCAAACTTGTAGAAATAAATGATTAAAAAGTTGATATAATAACAAACAAGCATGAATCATAACACCAGTAAAGTATAAATAAATAAATAAATAAATAAATAAATAAGTAAATAAATAAGTAAATAAATAAATGTAGCAATATAGCATGTTATGTCTCTCCTTAAATAAATATTCCTAATATATCTAAGGCTAACCGCAACCCAACCCGTCAATAAATCTAATTCCCCACCAATTTATAAGTATTCATCCAGTCAATTTAGTTTTTCCCTGCAACCCAACACCGTCAATATAATCACTCAGCACATATTTTTTTAATAAATGCATAAGGCCTTACTTTTTCTCATTACACATCATTTATGTGACTATTTTATTACTACCATTAATTATGATCTAAAAGGTCAACATTCCGATATAAAAATAAATAAATTTGGAGTTTAGTTTTTTTTGTTACTCCAGATCTATTTTTAAAAAAATAACAAAATAATGTAGTAAAAATTATTTTAACCATAATTTTAACACCTTGATTTATTTAATAAAATATTTGAACATAAATTCTCAAATTGAGAAAACTTTATTTAAAAAAAATATATATATACTACATATATAATATTGATGTCATATGAAAGAGCATAAAAAATCATGAATTTTGATATATATTTTTTATAAAATTTGGATTATAAATAAAAAAGTTAAATCATTTTAAAGCATTTTGGGGATTTTGTTTTAATTGGGCCCCAGCATCACCCATTCTTGTGTTCTTGCGGCTGCAATGTGCTTACACTTTCTCCTCTCTCTCCTGGGGTGAATCAAGGTCCTAGGCCGAGTGCGTATACCATGGAACCGGTATACGGTGAGTATACCGGGACGGCTTTATATTTTTTTTCCTTTTGTTTTTAAAAAATGGTTATAACTTTTTTATTTTTGATTCGATTTTTATAAAATTTATATCAACATTTTTTATTTTTCATGATCTTTCAAATGAGACCAATATTGCCTATGTAATTTTAACATATTAACATTTGTGTGTAAAATATGTAACTTTAAGTGTTAAAATATGTAACTCACGTTCAGTCAAGTCAAATGCAACTCGTGTGTATAAATATGTATCTCTACGTGTAACAATATGTAACTTTACGTAAAAAAATATGCAACTCGCATTTAGACAGGTCACATGCAACTCGTGTGTATAAATATGTAACTCGCGTGTATAAATATGTAACTTTACGTGTAAAAATATGTAACTTTACGTGTAAATATATGTAAGTCGCGTTCAGACATGTCAAATGCAACTCGTGTGTATATATATGTAACTCGCTTATAAAAAGATGTAACTTGCTTATAAAAAGATGTAACTCGCTTATAAAAAGATGTAACTTGCTTATAAAAAGATGTAACTCGCTCATAAAAAGATGTAACTCAATGTATTATCAAATGTAACTGAGGCCACTGATCCACTCCCAAACAGATTCGATCTTCTATTTCACAAACCTATCATCTCCCAAACAGATTCGATTTTTCTTATAATCCAATACTCATTAATATAATAGTTCGATAATTTCTTAAAATTACATAGGCAATATTGGTCTCATTTGAAAGATCATGAAAAATAAAAAATGTTGATATAAATTTTATAAAAATCGGATCAAAAATAAAAAAGTTATTATCATTTTTAATATCAAAAGCAAAAAAAAAAGGAGATAACTGCGTAGTTTTTGCAACCGGGCGCACCATCCTCATGGTGCGCCGATTGCACCATATAATTTGCGACTAGGCCCTAGCACGTCACCCATGGGTTTTCCTAATTCACTCTAAGACAGTAAGACCCTTCAATACAAAAAAAATATTGGATTGCAGCAACATTTGGGGTGAAAACCTTAAATTTTGGGTTTTCACCCTTACCTTTGCGGACACCCTAAGTTCCCCAATTATTCTGTTACATAATAAACGTATTTGGAATTAACTTCCTCTAAGAAAAGAAAAGAAAAAAAGGATGTGGCTCGCCACATGTGCACCACGTCAGCAAACGTGTATGTCACATGTGCACCACATCAACAGGTAACCCAGCTGACCATCGGGTTACATGCTAAAAGCCGATTTTGATGAAATTACAAAGTAGGAAGACATAAGTACGAGAACAAAATTGACTTCGTACAAAGTACGAGGGTCAATTTGGCACTTTTCTCTAAAAAAAATGAAGTACAAAGAGTGAATATAAAATTAATTCACCCAATATAGGCCTATTTCATATCGAACACTGTAAGTCTGTAACTAGAAGTCTAAAATTTAAAACCATGGTTTCGTATTGACCAGAAAAACATAAACTTTGACACATTCGACTTTAAGCATCACATGATCACAATAGCAAACCTAATTTTTGAAGAACAGTATGCGCTTCATCATTAATTTTTACTCCAAATGATGAGTACAAGTAATATCCAATTATCCGTCCAACCAAATTCTGAATAACAATCATGTAACTCATAGGACTGCTATATGAGCCTTCACAAAACACAAAAGCACTCCCAAGAATAAAATACTTTACATCCTATTATTCTCTAGCACTCTTGCGTGAAATCAAAACTTGTGAAAGTGAAATGGCTAGAATGGAAAATTCAAGAAATATATACTAACTACAGTTCTTCTCCACGCTTTCAGATTTTTTAGAACTGAAGTCAGGGCATGTCACACAGGCAGTTGAAGAGGGCACGTCATCTGAAACAGTTATTCGAAATGTTTGTTGCTTCTCTTGGTTTTCAGGTACGTGGACAAGAGCTTCCATAATGAGGATTTCCCAGGCACGGGGCTGAAAAAATGAAATCCAAGTATCCTCTACAACACATCAAATAAAAAAACGTCAAACATGAAGCACAAACGAAATAAGAGATTCAAAACAAGCAAGTGCAATATCTCAAACAACAACAGATTCGACATGCCAAAAAAAATCTCAGTTTCACCGTTTCCAGTCTAGACTCAAACAATAGTGTTACTTAGCACTGAAATCTATGACCTTGCCGGGGGCATAGCTCAGCTGGGGGAAAGAAGGTGTCACAAGAGAGAGAACCTGGGTTCAACTTCAAGCAAAAATCTGGGCTGAAAACTCACTCTCCACCCGTCTATAATAAAAAATGTCTAGTCGGTCCTAGGGGGCCTTTATGGATGGAGTGTCATCATTTTGAAGTGTACGACCTTGATTGAAGAAACATATCTCAAGACATGTTTACTTCACGTATTACGACCTCCTAGGCCATAAACTTATAGTAAATGCGAGTGTATGGGTGCCCTACTCATTAGTTTGTCCTGCTTTGATGGCAAAATAATTTACTTCAAAAAAGAAAAAAAATAGTTCAAAAAGTTTCAAGCTAATAACTTCCTTTCAATATTTTCAAAAATTTACACAAAGTGCCTCTCCATTCCTATCAATAGAGATGAGGTCCCAACTCACCCAATCCGAATCCTAGATCCTAGTGAGACATATTGAATATGTTCGGTTTGATTTGTTTAGGTTAATAACCATCAATTAAACATTTGAAGTAACTACAACGAAAGGAAGCGTGTAGTATACAGAGCCTTATATCTATATTGGATTTCAATTATATGATTACACGTGGATAAATGTTAAACTCAACACATGAAGGAGGGATAAACCTACTTCAGAAAGAAACGAAAAAATATATGAAATGCCAATTACCTCTATTATTAATTGCCTTTAACTGAATGATCCCAGAGCCTTGTGGACCTGAAACGGGAAATGAGCAGGATACAGAATGCCTTTGGTGCGACTTCCCCAGCGATGCATTATACCATGGTCCTCTAACAATTGGCACTCCAATAGATTCTATTATGGCCTTGTTCTTATTAGCTCTCTCTATTGCCTGGCTGAAAGGAATAATGATAATTAGAAATAATTACATATTTATAATTAAAATAAAGGTTGTTTACAAAATGTGAGCTTTAAAGTGTAGTGACTTAGTAGTAACTTATGTTGAACTTTTACAATCAAGTGACCATTGACATTATACTCATGGTAACTTTAGTCATATTTTTGTAATTAACTTTTATTTCATAAGTATTACAAAACAGATGATCAAGGGATTAGGTTTCAAAAGTATGTTCACATAATTTTATTTGAACAGATGATCAAGTGCCTTGTCATAGGTATAACTTTAGTCATATTTTTAGGTTTCTTGAACATAAGGCTATATGTTCAAGTGGATCTTCACATAAGTATGTTGCACTTGAACATATAGTATGTTGCACTTGAACATATAGCCTTATACTTTAGTCATAAGTATAACAAAAGAGATGATCAAGTTGATCTTCACATAAGTATTTCATAACACAATTTCACATGTGAAGATCCACTATGAGCAACATATAGCCTTATTAGGTTTCTTTTTTACCAAACACGTAACTTTTGATTTCAAAGGTTGAATTGTGTTATAGTCCTAGTTAAAGTTACTTTTCTCATTGAATTGAGTGAAATTACTATAGATGATCATGTTAACTATTTTCATATATATTTTTTCTTTATTTATTAATAAAATATATTTTTAATATAATTTTTTCATATTTCAGTTCATTCAACCAATTTCAGAGTTACCAAATGGGCTCTAAATCTATTACCTGCTACAACTGTGGTATATTGAGAGATCATCAAGTGCACTAAGAGCAACACCTCCTGTCAGGCAAATCAATGTCCCCGATACCACCCACTGTCCCCACGTTTTTGCATTGCTTCCATCTACCTCGCTCTTTGATGAACTAAAAGTTGGATATTAAAACACAATCAATAAGAGTTGGATAACCATCACAAGAATTAAATAACCGATCCCTCAAGACAATAATGAATTTCTTACGGGCTGCGCTTCAGGAACGACAACAAACTTCTTCTTGACATTTCTGGATCTCTTTGCTTCTGATTGTTTTTCAAAACCCTAAACCCCAAATTGACGTGAACTTGAGGTTTCCAAAAAAACATGTAACACGTCAATTTCAAAGGTCATGACGGAAAATGGTAAAGTTGCATTTGAATTTCACTACTTGAGATACTCCACCGGTTTAGAAAAAAATTAGAGGTACCTAAAATGCTTACACCTTTTTGTATACACATTTCTAAGTTGTTTATGAAGACAGTTAGCTCTTTTAGAAAAAGTCAGCAATTGTTCGCGTACACAAGCGAGTGTACAAAGATTGTACTAACTATGTCCGTTTAAAAAAGTATCCATTCGTTTTCCACACATTTTAAGAAAGTATGATTGATTGGTGCTGTTTGACACTGTTTGGACACTGTTTGGAACTGTTTTGCACTGTTTTGTTTGCCAAAAAAGAAAAGGGAACTTTTATTTAGGGATGACCCGAAAAGGAAACAGATGCTTTTATTTAGGGACGGAGGGAGTACATTTTAGAGTAAATTCCCTAAACGGGACTAAAAGAATAGAAAAATGCAAAAAACTAGGACTATCATGTTTTTAGGACTTTTTTAGGACTAAAATGCAGTAGCTTGACAGAATTACCTTTAATATTAAAACTCCAGTCTACATCGCAACAAACCATTCTCCTATGAACTGCAGTTCAGCCACCGACTATGGCCTCGCAAGTCGCAACGCACCTCCTCCGTCAACCGCATGTAATCTTCTTCTTCATCTTCTTCTTCTTCCTCTTCTTCTTATTCTTTCTTCTTCTTCTTCTTCTTCTTCTTCTTCTTCTTCTTCTTCTTCTTCTTCTTCTTCTTCTTCTTCTTCTTCTTCTTCTTCTTCTTCTTCTTCTTCTTCTTCTTCTTCTTCTTCTTCTTCTTCTTCTTCCCTTGGTGCACTTCTTCCCCCTCCTGCACTCTGTTTTCTGTTTTTTTCTATTCATCTATTACCTTTTTAAATTCTATTTATTGATTTGGATTTTTTTGGATTTGAATTTTATGTACGCAGAAAAATGCCACTTTTATAATCTCAGAATGTCAAAATTATTGGTTATTTGAAAAAATTGACACGTTTGTGATAGTATATATATCAAAATGACTGTTGGTCCAAAATAGGACGCTCGTAGGCTTTTAGGAAAGCTACGTACGACACTCAAGCAAGAATTAGGAAAGTACGAATATGGAAAGTTAGCCAGAAATAGCATATCTGTATTTGAAATTCGAATTGCCTTTTATAGGCGATTACAAATGGTAACTGCCGAACATAATAATGACTAAATTAATTACAACATTAATACGGAATTAAATACATAATTAAGTAGCGCATTGATTGTTGGCCGTTACTCTTCCTGGCTGGCAGGTCAGCCTGGCTGGCAGGCTGGACGCTTGAGCTCCCTCCTGCTGGACTGGACGGTGGGCTTCCCGCTAGGCTGGAGGAAGGCTTCTGACCGGGCTGGAGGCAGGCTCCCGGGTAGGCTGGAAGGCAGGCTCCCGGGTAGGCTGGAAGGCAGGCTCCCTGTGGGGCTGGAGGCAGGCTCCCACCTGGGCTGGACCGCAGGCTCCCAGCTGGACTGGACCGCAGGCTCCCAGCCAGGCTGGTGGTCGGCAGGCTCCTGGCTAGGCTGGAAGGCAAGCTCCCCACTGGGCTGGAAGGCAGGCTCCCCACTGGGCTGGAAGGCAGGCTCCCCACTGGGCTGGAGGGCAGGCTCCCCACTGGGCTGGAAGGCAGGCTTCTGGCTGGGCTGGTCGACAGGCTCTCTTGGGCTTCCGCTCCTTGATTGCCCTGATTGGTTGGGCCGACTCGAGCCCTGGGTTGCTGGGCTTGGGCCCGCTGGTCCAAGTTCGGGGCCTGGGCCAATTAGGCTCTGGGCCTGGTCCCATAATCCCATCACGAGTCCCCCACTCCCTTAGTCGAGTAGTAGACTCGGCTAAGAGGGAGTAGTTCAGGTCAGCTGCCCATTAAAAAATATTCACATATCAGGGAGCCATAATTGTGGATTATGTGAATCCCGGAGTTTATGGAAATTCCCGAATTAAATCAGGCTCCCAAAAAGGCTCCAAATAAATTCCTTCCTTTTCTTTTCTTTCCTTTTCTTCTTTCCTTTTTTTTTCTTTTCCTTTCTTTTTTTTCTTCCTTTCTTTTCTTTTCTTTCCTTTTCTTTTCCTTTCCTTTCTTTTCTTTTTCCTCTCTCTCCTGGAACCCTGCGTGCGTGCGTCTTCTCCTAGCCGTCCCAGCGCCGCAACGTAGTAAACCCAACGTGGACCGCCGTATGTGGCCTTGACCTCCCTGCCTCGCTGGGCTCTCCACCAGCCGGCGGTTTTTCCGCGGCGGCCGACGGCGACATGCTCGAGCCGGCCGGCTTCTAGCGTCGGTCTACGAACCGTCCAGGTCAGGCGGCCAGGCGGCCACCGCTATGCACTTCGGATTTGAAAGCGACAGGCCAGGCTGGAGCCACAATTCCCCGGGTTCCGCGTTGTCCGGCGGTCGTCTGGGTGGCCGACTTCCAGCGTCGGTCTACGAACCGTCCAGGTCAGGCGGCCAGGCGGCCACCGCTATGCACTTCGGATTTGAAAGCGACGGGCCAGGCTGGAGCCACAATTCCCCGGGGTTCCGCGTTGTCCGGCGGTCGTCTAGGTGCTCCTTCCTCCGGGCGGCAAGGTGCTGCCACCATCTTCTTTCTTCTTGCTTCGCACTGACGGAGACCAGGCACGCACAGGGGTCCAACACCGCCGTCCTCCTAGCTTGCTGTTGGCCATTTGTGGCGCGGCGCTTCAGGCAGGCGGCCGGGCTGCAGGGCCCTTCCGGGTGAACGCCCGTCAATGCGGGACCCTTGCAAACTTAGAACCTTGACCTTCTATCAGGCTGGCGACTCCCCAGTCCACTGTACATCCGTGGCTGCCCGGGTGTCGTCCTGAACTCCGGCAGATCTGGTACGTGGGTCTGGAATTCAACTGTCCGGCGCAACCTGCATGGATTGGTGGCCAAGCACAAGGTCAACGTCTGCATCACAGGTCGGGTTCCCTGCCTCACCGGACCCATCAGCCCGTGGTCGTTCTGCACTGCTGACCGGCGGCCGGCAGCGTCCCTGGCGGTTGCCTTCCCCATTCTTGGATACTCGATCAACACTTGAATTTGAAGGATGGTACTGTGATTCTTTACCTATTGGCCGAGCCCTTCATCTCATGATCGTGTGGGAAAGCAGAGCTTTTAGGATGAATGAGGCCCCAAGGTTGGATGCTCCCTTACAACCCATAATTTCCTTTCTGTAGCCTGTAGGTTGGGTGATTGTGCCTTGCTAGTTGTGGTCCGATGCCATCGTCTTGTGTGGGCTGGACGTGCCGGGAACATTGATTGATAATGGTGAAAACCCCATCTCCCATGTACTCCATATGGGAGCTTCGTGAAGAGGAGAATCGACAAGAGAGAGGCTGACCTCACCCTTACCGATTCACTTTCGTTTTTTTAATATTCTGATGATAACTTTCTGTTGCCTGTAGGGTCTCAACGCTCGGGATGACCTGCTGAAGATTTTGTTCACGGCGGCAAGCACCAAGGCAATTGCGGGTTCTCATGCCCTCACAGAGATCCCCGAACGTGTGAAGGATCATGAGGACGAGAGAGCCCCACGGCGGGGAGCCTACCTTCCAGTTCGAACTTCGAAGCATGTAAGGCGGCAAGCGCCCCTATCGCGGAAACGGCGGTCAAGGCTTTCCCTCAGGAGTGCTCAACAATGTAAGTTGATTGCGACATAGTACTTGGGCGCCAGTCGCCAGTTGATGGTGGCGTAGTACCTGAGAGACGGCCAAGAGTGGACTAACCATGGCGATGACTAAGTTGACTTTCAGATTCTGGGAGAGTTCCTTAAGCTTTCTAGTAATTCCCGTGTCTGGATCATTGTACTTGATGGCCATGGGAACATCCGGCCATGACTGTTGCACCTTTTTTTGTAGCTTGTAGCCACCATATGTAAAATTCGAATGAATATCACCTTTTAATTCATATGTTTCCTTTTCTATACTTTGCATTACGAATACTTAGCAATTTATTCGGGGATCTGGCTTCTCTAACCTCCCGGGGGCGGTTAGGCTGGCGTGGCCGAGCCTATCCGTGCCCCTCTTAGTTGGATAGAAGTGATATGTTCGCTATTGATATGGAATCAACAAATAAGCGACTTGTTTGGCCAGCGAGGTCGGACATTGAACCGACGAGGAAGACCCTTAGGTCGGTATCCTGAACGTTCATGACCCGGGGGTCAGTCCTACTGTCACTTTAACCCATCCAGTTTTCCCGGACTTGGGGAATAATCTGGTTACTCCCGCATGGATAGCCAAACAACAGGGGCGGACCCTGCATGATCCACCAGAACGAACCCGCACCGCCAACTCAGGGATGACGAGAGTGCGAGCTGCTTGGCCAGCGATGTTAGGCGGTGAGCACTCGAAAAGACCCGAAGATCAGCATCCTGAGTACCCTCGACCCGGAGGTCGGCCCTACCATCGCCTCGACTGTCGCGGCTAGCTCTTTACTTTAGAAAATCGCCTGGATTCTTGAAAATCGCTTGGCTATTTTCGGTTAAAGAGCCTGGCCGAGGTCGGCCAAACACCGAGGGGGGGCATAGTACCTTTTTTTTTGCCGCCGCCCTTTATTGCTAAGTGAGGTCGGACCTCTTTTGATGACAAAATATCGCTAGCAAAGTATATTGAATTCATGATGTGGGCGGACCACATGAAGAATTACAAATTGTAATCCCGTGCTCGGAGCACAGGAGTTTACAAAGAAAAGTGAAACTTCGATTTTCTACTGGTAAAACTTCATCAGGTGCTCGGCATTCCAGACGCGGTCTACCAACCGGCCTGTTGCTGTCTTCAACTTGTATGTCCCAGGGCCGATCACTGCGTCAACCACGTAAGGACCTTCCCACTTGACGGAGAGCTTACCTCCCTCTGTCGGCCTGCTGGCCTTCCTACGTCTTAGGACATAATCCCCGACGTCGAAACTCCGGGGTCGGGTTCGGCTGTCTTGGTACACCTTGACTTGTCGTCGATAGTTTTCCGCTTTGATGAAGGCATGGTCTCTTCTTTCCTCAATGAGGTGGAGCTTGGCTCGGAGCCTCTCCTCATTGCTGGATGGTTCAAACTCTTCCACTCGCCGGCTGGGAACTACGGCCTCGAACGGTGCCCTCGCCTCAAAGCCATAACACA